CTCCATTGTTAACACATTTCTTCTTTAAATTTTCTAAAAGTATGTCTGTGTCAAGCGATTGGGAGATGGAGACGTTGTCGTAGGAGGAGCATGTGGCTACTCCAGAGGGACTCTAGAGGGATTCTGGCAGCAGCAGGCGATGGAAGTTCCATCGAAAGATATCGATTTGGACGTGTGAATATGAGATCCCAGGGTCGGTTCAGATGTTTGCCCCATACGATTGTAAGCGAGCACAGGAGTGTTTTTGTCCATAAGGAGGTGTTAGCGTCCGGGCTTTGATTCCTTCTTCCACCGGTGATAGCTAAGTATTTGCAGCAATGGGGGATAGGCATTACACAGATCCATCTGAATGCCATGATGCGTTTGACATATTTAGTAGGAATGTTCATCAGTATGAGGTGGCCAACGCCGACCATGAAGGAGTAGGACTCCGTCTACATGTGGTCGACGATGAAGAGAGGCTCAAGATATTTCCATTCGCACCTACGTGACAACATATATTCAAATCCGATACAACATGTGCCAGAGACTTTGCGTAAACAGAAACCAAAGTGGTTTTGGGTCGTAAAGGAGTGGTGAGGTCGTTGTTCATCCAGTCGGCATCAATACGTGTCTATCGCCTTCGTTGAGAAGATTGGTAAGTTCCTTCCATTTATTTGTTGCTCGCAATAAGTGTGGCTTATTTTTCAGCTATGGTCATCGGTAGTATTCAACAATCGTCGGTATGGATGGGTCACAACCTTTTTAGGGAAGGAGAACAATATTGGTCCACCCATGGAGACGGATTTTAAGGAGAAGCTAGAAAAAATTTTTGAGTTGGACTTGCTCGAGAGGAGCTGCCAGAAGTGGAGTAAGAACGGCGAGCTGGCGAAGGCCAATTTGCACCTGGGCTTCACGGATACCACAGTGAAGCCAAGTAATTTTGTAGTATGGCTTTTATGTTGTTGGAAAATTGCATGGTATTGGTATATATAGTTTTGTATTTTTTGCTTTCGTATTTCATTGGCCATCGATTGGCTTTGCAGTCTAGGTGTCGCTCTATGGATATTTCCACAAGACCTCGTCTTGACATCCACAATGCCAAACTCATAGTTCATATAACCAGACACAGCCTAAAATTCATATAGACTCAAGTATGACTACAGTTGGAGAAGTTAAGTCATAATAGACCCATTTCTTTCTGAGTTTACTATTTCACAACAAGCCATACTTTGGAGTTACATAATTTTACTTGTATATCCATTACGTCCAAGTGCCTTTACGCCATTTAGAAATCATTGTAGTTTGTTAAGTTTTTGCATCCTCGTCTCAGAGCATTTCATTGTATGATTACAAGTATGACTTACATTTTATGGTAGCTTTGGAGGTCATGGAACTTGTGGCTGTTTAATTCTAAAGACTTACCATATTTGGTTATCATACGGAGAGCTGTGGTGGAGTGGAGTGAGTTCTGCACTTGGTCTTAGCTATTGTGGTCTAGCATCTTAATTTGTTGGAGTCCTCTTGGTGTTTCTTTCTTTTTGGAGTTTTTGTTGTTTGCGGTCTGGGGTTCTGTACTTAGAATAGGTTAATGTCTACTGTTGTTTGTTGTGGGTGTCTGTGTAGGTGTTATTGGTTTTTATTGTTTGGTTTGGAGGCTTAACTTTCAGGTATTTTTATACTTGCTTTAAGTTTTCGGGTGTTGTTAGTCTAGACCACTTTGTTTAGTGGCTTCTCAGTTGTACTTACCTTTGAGTTTGTTTCGGCTTGTACTTTTGAACGTTTGTTTG